AAACATAACATAACGTAACATGACGTAACATAACAGGGTTACACAAAACATAACATAACATAACAACAAAACATAACATAACATAACGTAACAACAAAACATAACATAACATAACGTAACATGACGTAACATAACATAGGGTTACACAAAACATAACATAACATAACGTAACAACAAAACATAACATGACGTAACATGACATAACATAGGGTTACACAAAACATAACATAACGTAACATGACGTAACATAACATAGGGTTACACAAAACATAACATAACGTAACAACAAAACATAACATAACATGACGTAACATGACATAACATAGGGTTACACAAAACATAACATAACGTAACATGACATAACATAACATAGGGTTACACAAAACATAACATAACGTAACATGACGACAAAACATAACATGACGTAACATGACATAACATAGGGTTACACAAAACATAACATAACATAACGTAACAACAAAACATAACATGACGTAACATGACATAACATAGGGTTACACAAAACATAACATAACATAACGTAACAACAAAACATAACATGACGTAACATGACATAACATAGGGTTACACAAAACATAACATAACATAACGTAACAACAAAACATAACATGACGTAACATGACATAACATAGGGTTACACAAAACATAACATAACATAACGTAACAACAAAACATAACATGACGTAACATGACATAACATAGGGTTACACAAAACATAACATAACGTAACATGACGTAACATAACATAGGGTTACACAAAACATAACATAACATAACGTAACAACAAAACATAACATGACGTAACATGACATAACATAGGGTTACACAAAACATAACATAACATAACGTAACAACGCGCCGCAGATAGGGGGCGTCGGAGCCTCCATCAACCAGCCAATACACTCCAATTAAACACAGCACAAGTTATGTCACGAGCTCAGTAGATCAAGTCAGTAATTACCCCGCCTGTCAGCCCCTATCAATCCTGAGATTGGAACGGCCGCCATTTTCCCACAAATTAAATTTACATTCTATTAAGTTTAATTAGGAGGGATTTTAAATATACTGGAGTCCAGGACCACGGCCGTCACCACACAAACTGATTCACTACCAACAGAGCCCTGAGGTACGGATTTCATCATATTCTCATACTTTCGTTTTCTCTGATTAGTTCAATAAGAGACATTAAAATAGGAATCCTGACACTCTTTAACTTTCAATTCAGCCTCATCAAAAGAACATACACTGCAAAATACAAACAAAACACCCATTTCATTTACACTTTTAAATATATATATATATATAGTATAGTATAGGACGAGTATAAATGCATATTTAATATACATTTAAGTATTTATAGTATCTTTAAGATGTCTTAAATTATACTAGCATAAAAAATATATAGTTAAACTATAAATAGATATATAAATTACAAATACAATACAGTGTATATAGTATCTTCAAGTATATATATTAGTGCTGTCAAACGATTAATCGCGATTAATCGCATCCCAAAAAAGTTTTTGTTTACATAATATATGTATGTGTACTGTGTATATTTATAATG